CAGAATTAAGGATTATTTTATTGTTACATCATTGCCTTTTCTCTTTTACTTTCCTTTTTAGTTTTATTTTAGGATTCCCTATTTTTAATGTTCATACAGAGATTTCTTTAACTGAAATACCGAATAGTTTCTGTGGTGTGAAAAACTATAATAGTACACAGGATCCCAATGAGATAATTAATAATGTGAAATAGGAAGTAAAGGGCTAAAGGTGCAGGGAAAGTGGGAAGGGTGGGGGAAAGGTAATAAGGGAGAGGAAAAAATATGAGAAAATGAAAAAATGGAAATAAAGTGTTTGTAAATGGGGAGGGGAGGAGGGGGTGAAGGGAGGGCAGGGACAAGGGGAAAAAATGAGAATCAAGACCTATTATGTAAAGGTACAGAATCCCAGTGATGAATGTAATTGTATTGTATACCTAGATTGTACCAATAAACTCAATAAAAAGAAAAAAAATTAAAAATATCACAAAGAAAGAAATGCTTATGGAACAGGGGGCTCTGGGATGATGTTCTGCTTCTGGTCCTGGGTATTGGTTATACAAGCATGTGTGTTTTGTGAAAATTAATCAGTGCTCATGTCTATATAAAAATATGTTTTAATATTTTTTTCTAAACAATATAGAAACAACCCAAACATCCATCAAAGGATGAGTAGATAAAAAATGTGGAACAGCCATAGAATGGAATACTATCCAACCAATAACAGTAATAAACCACTGCTACCACATGGATGTACCATGAAAATGCCATGTGCCGTAAAAGAAGCACATGATAAAAGCAAATATTCCATCCCATTTATATGGAATGTCCACAACAGGTGAATCCGTAGAGACATACAGCAGGTGAGCAGCTGCCATCAGGTGGGAAGAGGGCATAAAGAGAGGCGCCTAGTAATGCAGACGGGGTCTCCTCTGGGGGGAATGAAGATGTTCTAAAAGCAGACAGATGTAGGCTGCACCACATCATGAATGTCCTTAATGCCGATGAAGTGTACAACTTCAAGTGATCCATTTTATGTTGTATCAATTTTACCTCAATTTAAAAAAAATATGAAGAGCAGTAATAATTCAAAGTCAGAGCCCATAAAAGAAAGCTCTTTGGGAAGTGCTTTTGAAATATATCTGAACCGATTCAGCAAAGCATGTTTAATAAGAACAAAAGAAGCAATCTTCTCTGATTTTAGTAATGATAATGGAAGCATGGAATATCCTGCACAGTTTGAGAAGACCTTGGCCATCCAGAGACAGTGTGCAAGGCTTGGGGTATACTTAAGTTGTAGAATGCTTGCCTAGCATGCACAGGCCCTGGGTTCAATACAGACAGAGGGTGATGAGGAGAAAGCAAGTGTGAGGGTGTATGCAAAGTCCCCCTGCATGATCCCCAGTCTTACCCAGGCCAGGGACGCACCCACTTTATGTTCTCATGGCACTGGCACAGTGCATGAGGTAGTCACCACGCAGTCTCCAAACACTGCATTTACATGCATCTCTGCAGGGGCTGTGGGTGCTTCAGGGGTAGCAGTTTATGTCAAGCTTGAGTCCCTCGAACTTAGTACCAGCATACAGTGGATATGGAAGGCATGTTTACTGATCCAAACAGGGTTAAGCCCGGGCTTCTTCTACCACATGCACACACCCAGCCAGCAGGGAAATCTGTGCTTACCACCTGGTCTGGAAAGGAAGGCTCGAAGTGGGTTTGATACCTAGCTCTGTCTCCCATAAACTGTGGGTCTGACCAAGTCACCTGCGCCTCTGAGCTTTAGCTTCCTTAATTGTACAATAGGATTAAAATCTCTACTCCATAGGCTTGTGTTTATTAAGAGATTTGTTTCCTGTTGATTAAAAGAATGTCAAGGACATAGCTCATTCAAGAAAGGTCAGTTCCTCTTCTCCTGTCATAATTTTCTTTTTGTACCAGGGATCAAACTCCAGTCCTTATGCTTGTGAAGCATGTGGTGGAACCAGAGCTAAATCCCTGGCCCATCATAATTTTATTTTAGAGAATAGGTACTGTCCTCAGAAAGACATGCCCCCCCATCTTCCTTCCCCTTCACTTACCTTCATGCCAAAGGTAAATATGGTAATGACGATTTTGAAGATGAGGGCCAGGGCCAGCTGCCACATGGCTGTGTAAACCCCGATCCCAGCGGGCCGGTCTGGAATGTCATCCACAGGCCGGGTCATATTGGGGTCGTTGATATAGTCACAGAGCTGGGAAGACTCAAGGGCCCCACAGTCATTGAACAGCTCAGAAATGAGCTCGCTGGTGCTCTGGCGTGTGTAGGGGTTGGGGTAGGCGATGATGGCAGTGATGGCCGTCACCACAATGACCTCCAACACTGGGTACTTCCCCAGCCTGGTGGTTTTGCGTCTCCTGCACCAGGCGATGTTGCAGCGAGTGAAGAGTGTTCCCCACAAGCCCCCAAAGACCCCAAGCAGGATGAAGGGGAAGAGTTCAGCCATGTACCAGGGAGTGTGATACTCCACATAAAAGAGAACCAGGCGGCTGTTCCCAAAGGGGTTGATGGATCGCAGTGTGAAGGCTGCCACCAGGGCTGCAAAAAATGACCTCCACAAGGTCTTCAAGGGAAAGTAGTAACTGACCTGGAACAAAGAAGTAGAAAACCAGAGGCTGGCCAAGGAAAGAGCACCTCAGAGCCCTCCCACCTTGGGTCAGCAGTCACCTGTGATACTTGGCAGGAAAGACCAGGCTGAAACCAAAGGTGGGTCACACTCACTTTGCCTAGGTTTAATTGTGTCCAAAATGCACCAACAAAGATATTTAAAGGAATCTAACTATGCCAAAAAGTGCCATGGATTCTAATAAAGGTGGGCTTGTGCTACATTGTTAAGATTAATAAAGGGCTGCGAGTGTTGCTCAGTGGTAGAGCATGAGATTAACATGTTCTTCCATCCCCATTACCCCCCCAAAAGAGAGCGTTAAATAAAAATATGTATTTGTAATATTGTATATGGCACAAAGACCCTCCTAAAAGAAAATAAACTTTGGATTTGGTTCTATAGAAAACAGAACAGATCAAGGGTTGGAAAACTGTGGCCCACAAGTCAACTCTGGCCCAGAGAATATACTATTTGCACAGCACATGAATTAAGAATGGTTTTTGAATATAAAATAGAAAAGAAACAACTTGTGATATGAAATATTCATTCAAAAGGAGAACCATTTTCATTACATGTGAGAGCTGTATAAAATCCAGCTTTCGGCATCCATAAGGAAAGGTTGTGGGGCACACAGCCATGCCTATTCATGGATAGATCATCTGGTTGCTTTTCTGTTAACAATGGCATGGTTGGTTGGCTGCAGCAGAAATTATGTGGTGCACAAAAGCCTTTGCAGAAAACATATGCCAACCTCTGGGATGATCCATTCAGGTTCCAAACCAAGGTGGAATTTATGTTGGTTACGAGGAAGAGAGAGGATACTATAAATCTTCCCACAAAATTATATTGACGTTAAGAAAGTATTTGAAAATATATTTAATAGTAGAAACTGTGATCCTTCATTAACTGCAGAAAGCTTTTTCAGTACTTCTATGAATCTAATCTTCAGAGGGTAGGGAATAAAGGCTCCCTGCTATACCAACCATCCACATGTCTCTTACTGCCTTTCTCACCTCCTCCAGACTGAAGAGCACACCCCCGATGGGAGCACCAAAGGCCACAGAGACCCCAGCAGCAGCTGCAGCTGAAAGCACCTACAAGGCAAATGGTTCTAAGTAGGTTCCAGGGCCTTCCCTGGAAGCAAACCAGGCAGGCAACAGAGGCAGGGCTCTGAGAAGCCTCCCCTGCATGCAGAAGCTGCAGCTCACCTCACGCCTTTTGCCCTCATTCTTGCTATACTTGGAGAAAAGGCTGCTGAAGAAGTTGCCACAGCAACAAGCCACATGCACCAGAGGCCCCTCTTTCCCAAGGCTCAGGCCAGAGGACACGACCAGCACCAGGGTGACTGTCTTGATTAGCAGTGTCCACTTCCCCAAGTAGCCTCTGATGATAAAGCCGCTCAAAATGGTCTTTATCTGAAAGAAGATGGAGACGGAGGGAAATGAATTTCTTCAATCCATGCTTAGGAAAAGAGTTGCAGTGCCTCTGAGCTAGAATCACTAAGTCATAAAGAAAAGAGACTATCTTAGTTTTTGACTTGTCTATAATTTTATAGAATAACAACAGATACATTCCAACACTGTAGCTGATGCCTGAAAATTGAGTATTAAACCTAATATATATTTTGCTCTCTCCTATGCATACATACTTATGATAAAGTTTAATTTATGAAATAGGCACAGTAAGAAGTCAACAATAATTAATAATAAAGTAGAACAATTATAACCATCAGAACCCATTTTCTGTTCATGTCTCCCACCCATAAATTTAATGCTTTTTCTATTGCAACTAAGCAATTATCATACATTGTAGCCACAATATTTGCAGTTTGTGGTGTGGCAGCAAAACAAACATGAAACACTTTTTCCTTTTTCACAATTTCATGAAGAGAAGATTCATTCTTACCACAGACCGTAGCAACCTCAGCATACAATGGTTTTTCTTTCCACAAATTGACAACTTTCACCTTTTCACTTAAAGGAAGCACTTTACAGCTTCTTGTTGGCACAGGCCAATTGCTGGCATCATTACTCTTATGCTTTGGGAAGCCATTATTGAGTAAAATAAGAACGACTTGAACACAAGCAGTGCAATGCTGTGACAGTCCATGTGATAACCAAGATAGCTGTTAAGTGTTCAGTGAGTGGGTAGCACATACTTTGTGGATACGCTGGATAGAGGGATGATTCATGTTCCAGACAGAACAGACCAGGATGACAAGAGATTTGCTCACACTGCTCAGGACAGTTTGCAATTTTTATTGTTCAAATCTCTCAGCTTTCCTACCTATTTTAAAGTATTCTTGATACAATGTTAGAAAATGAACATGCTCAATATTCTGGTAACAGGCCTTTAGGAGATGTAAAAATGCTTGAAAGAATGAGGACCCCATCTCTTCCATAGATTCCTACCCTCTTATTAGAAAGGACTTTGCAGGGAGAACTGTCTCACTCCATTTTCAGACTTGCTTCATTTTGTAAGTGTCAAGTAGCGACTTTCTTCCTATAGCTTTTCTTGAGTCCTTGTTTAATGCATTTAGAACTGAACTGGATATCAGCCTCAGCAACTAACTTTGTATACTGAAGTCCACTGTCCTAAATGACATCTTTTGGATACAGAAGCATCACCAATGGCTAAACAACTTTTCTACCTCCAGCCTCTTCCCAAATAGGCTAAAATGCAATGAATCTTTACTGCTGAGGCAGCTACTTACAAGCTCCTAATCATAGATTAATTAGATACTGAGTCAGACAATGGAATTCCTAGTCAATTTCTGTTTTCCCATTGTGTAATACATAACAGGACAATGCTATCTCTTATCAGTGTCATTTACATAACTTCCAAATGCTTCCTTGTGGGCCCTGCTCTGCCAAGTAAGCACTTTCTCAAATAGCTATTACAATCTTTCTCAACCTTGGTGCTCATGAGAATCACCTGGTGAATTCAAAAGTATTGAGGGAAAACTGGCTCTCTGCACACAGATGTGATGTAATTGGTCTGAGGTGCATCTAAGGGGCAGGGACTTTCACAGCAACCCCAGGTGATTTTAAAATGCTCCACTCCTGAAAAGACCAGTACAGATATTCCCAATATCTCAATATTTAAAGGACAGCCTTGAAGCAAACTAATCCTCAAATACTAAAAGCCTGTAGACATGACCATTTTCATCTCAAGAATTATTCACAGAGATCTGTTTCTTAATACAAGGAGAATGAGTGGGAGAAGCTGAAGGAAAGGAAGAGAATTAGAAAGCACACAAGCGTGTTTGTGTGTTTCCCCAACAAACTCCTGAGCTCCTTCCTATAGAATATATATGAGGTCTCCTAGCTACAGGTAGATAGTATTTCTTAAACTAAGGGCTGGGGATTTAGCTCAGTGCCAGTATGCCTGCCTCGAAAGCACAAGGTCCTGAGTTCAATCACCAAAACCAGAAAAAAAAATTCTTAAGCTAGCCTTTAACTCACAGCAGACAAACTAGCAGTACCTAAACTAGTCTTTAACTAGTGGTAGTTGGCCTAATTGAGCTTATGCTCTGGGGATCTCAGATCCCTTTATTTAAAGGATGTTTTATTATCCTTGCCACAATCCTTCCCTTTTGTGTTGCCTTGAATAAAATTATCTATAATTTTTTGTCAGTTAGTTAATATGGATTTGGACCCCAGGGTACAGTTTAAAAGTGTAATACCATTTAGAAAATTACAAGCATTTAAATTACCTGAACCTTTGCCAGCCATGACATGTGGTGAATTGAACAATGTAATAGGGATTTTGTAATTCTCTAAAATGATTTTATAAAATTGTCATGATCAAATTAGGAACTGAAGAAGGCAAATTCATTCCTAGTAGATGACAAAATCCAATCGTTTGCTCTCATTTAAATTCGCAGCGACTGAAGCAAGCAGAGCTTTAACAAGATGTATTACAGCAGATCTGTGGCTCAGTGGTATATCTCTTAAAACCAGAACCCCTTTTGTTTGATAAATATTTGTCCAAGGGCTCATGTCTTGCAAGGAACAGAAACATCACCTGAGACACCATGACTTCTTGTATTAGTGATGGTAATTTCTATTGATGAAGCCACAGAAGTAGAGGAACACCCTTACCGAGTCCTCTCTGAATTCCAAAGTCCCCAAAACCCCTAGGGTTCACTTTGGAATGTGCTTTATGGAAATTACATGGTCATTTCTTACACAGAAAAAAATCTACATTTACACTTGTAAAATGCTCCCAAAGGAATTTTCATTCTAAGTAATCAAGGTGTTTTGGAAGGAAATGCCTGGGTGGATGAGCAACGTTAAAAATGTACCTCGGTCTGGGGGTGTGGCTTAGTGATAGAGTACTCGGTGGCTGAGAACTGCAGCCTTAGTTGAGGGTTTCCTACTCCGCTATAATAATGGGGAAAACTTGGCTACTGCTGAGTCATAACAACCAAATTTAATTATGAAACCTCCATTGGTTCCTGGCTTTTTAAAAAGTTACAGTGAATACTTTTATGGAGAAAAGAATCTATTACATATTTATATGGTTAAAAGATTGATGATAAACACAAGCACCCATGTACCCACTACCAGGTTCAAGAAATAGAAGAGCAGATAACTTTGAAAGCCCTCTTTGCCGGCATAGTGGAAACTTCTCCTTCCCCTTCATCACTTCCAATCACCTCTTTGCCTTTCTTGATCATTTTAGCAAAACATGTCAGTTTGAGCCTTTGTGTGCTCTATACAAACATAAACACACCTTACATGTTCTTCTGCAGTCTATTTTCTCCACGTGACATCACATTTTTTGAGTTTCATCCATGTCAGTGTGTTTCTTGTACTTTTGTCATATAATAAACTTAAATGCACAACTCAGTATTTTACTTCTTTTGAGTTTTGCTGTCACCAGTAAAGACTGGAGAAAAAATGTCCAAGCAGCCCCTCAAATACAGAGCTCCTATTTAAGCTCCCTGTCTGTCTGTAAGACCACCAACTGAGCCACACACCTCTGGTTCTTGGAAGGGAAAGAAGGGATTGCCCATCATCCCTTTTGTTGCTGCTTTAGATTTTTCACCCATTTTCTACTGCCCATCTTCTTATTTTGGAAAGGCTATGACCGTTGGGCAGTCAGGTCATAAACTAGGATGCCAATGATGATCTATCCTTTTTATTGTCCAGAGTGCATTGGGCTTTGGATATCAAATAAAATAGCTCTACTGTAACATTTGCTTTGAAAATGCAAATAAGTCTCAGTGCTATTCATATATTAGGGAGGAATTTGAGCATAATGTAAATTTTACGTCTGTTTATACAGTTTCCTATAGAAGAAATACAAGGTAAGTGCAGAAAACTACACCAAGTAGAACTGAGCCATGTAGGAGAATACAAACTGCACATATGTACACATCTCATACATGTATTGTCTCATGCATGTGCTGGGGATCCCAGCCGTCCACAGCCAATGATCTTCCTCCTCTCACCCTTCACAGTAACTAGTGAGCTGTGGCCCTGTGACACCCACTTCCACGAGCAAACATCAAGTTTTTTTCAAGTGACATATTCATTGTAGAATTATATTTACATGTGTCTTAGCAATTTAAGAAATGTACAACTGTGCCACTGTGTTTAGTGTGTATATATCCCCAAGGAAGTTCTGGTTGTTTTTTGTTTTTTGGTACTGGAGATCGAACTCGGGACCCTGCACTTACAAGGTAGGTGGTGGCACCACTGAACTAAGTCCCCAGCTCTCTGGGGGGTTTTTGTTTGGTTGGTTTTTGGTTTTTGAGACAAGATCTTGCTATGCAGTTCAGGCTGCCCTTGAACGCACTATGTCGCTCAGGCTAGCCTGGAACTGGTGGCAATCCTCCTGCTTTAGCCTCCCAAAGTACTGGGATTACAGGAGTGCAACACCATGCTCAGCTTCACTGAGGAAGGTTTTTTTTTTTTAAATATGATTCATTTCTCTCTTAAATACTTTTTTTTTTTTTTTTTTTT